GGCCCTGGGTCAGGGCGTCTGGGGCGAGGGGGAGACTGCCACCGGTGAGTGGGGTGGCAGGGGGGACGCAGGCCCGCTCACTCCACTGCGTCCCAGCCCGGGCCCCTAACAGCGGCAGGCAGTCTGCTGCTGTGTCAGTGGGGATCCTGGCCGCAACACACTGACATCGGGTCTGGGTGTGCCGCAGCCAGACTAGGGTCGGCTGCCCCCGGGCTACTTCCTACCTCCCCCTCTAGCAGTACCTGCGTCTGGTCAGTGTTCTCCAGGGAGTCAAGGACCATGGGCTCCTCAGGGTACTCGGTGAGCGGTAGGCTTGGCAGCTCCTCTGGGTCGCTTCTCTCCGGTAGGATTGACAGCTTCTCCGGGGTCTGGTCGTCATCAGTCCTTGACTGGTATGGCCAGTCCTTGGGTCGGTCACAGGCTGCAGGAGTCTCCTCAGCGGGAGCTAGGCCCCCAGCGTATGGCTTCTCCGGCGGCCAGGCAGCTTCTGAGCCCTGGGATGCGGCTTTTATACTTCCGGTCCTGCGCTTTGACCTTTGGGGGGCGGGCGCAGGCTCCAGTGGCTCCGCCCACTTTGGCATCCAGAGGGACTCGCCCCTCTCTGGGGCGGCTGGGAGCCAGGCCGCCTCACTACAGCATCCCAGAATCATGTTTGCTTTTTTTGCAACAGCATCACACTGTTGACTCATATTTAGCTTGTGGTCCACTATAACCCCTAGATCCCTTTCTGCCGTACTCCTTCCTAGACAGTCTCTTCCCATTCTGTATGTGTGAAACTGATTTTTCCTTCTTAAGTGGAGCACTTTGCATTTGTCTTTGTTAAACTTCATCCTGTTTACCTCAGACCATTTCTCCAATTTGTCCCGATCATTTTGAATTATGACCCCGTCCTCCAAAGCAGTTGCAATCCCTCCCAGTTTGGTATCAGTTGCAAACTTAATAAGCATACTTTCTATGCCAATATCTAAGTCGTTGATGAAGATATTGAACAGAGCCGGTCCCAAAACAGACCCTTGTGGAACCCCACTTGTTATACCTTTCCAGCAGGATTGGGAACCATTAATAACTACTCTCTGAGTACGGTTATCCAGCCAGTTATGCACCCACCTTATAGTAGCCCCATCTAAATTGAATTTGCCTAGTTTATCGATACGAATATCATGTGAGACCGTATCAAATGCCTTACTAAAGTCTAGGTATACCACATCCACTGCTTCTCCCTTATCCACAAGACTTGTTATCCTATCAAAGAAAGCTATCCGATTGGTTTGACACAATTTGTTCTTTACAAACACATGCTGGCTATTCCCTTTCACCTTACCACCTTCCAAGTGTTTGCAGATGATTTCCTTAATTACTTGCTCCATTATCTTCCCTGGCACAGAAGTTAAACTAACTGGTCTGTCGTTTCCTGGGTTGTTTTTATTATGGACTGTTCCAGTATTCAATGAATACTATATCATCCTGGAAACTCCTTATCAGGTGTTTGGAAATACTGCTTTCTTAGGACTTGGGACTTGGACTTTCTTACCCCCTTTAGTGCAGTGATATGACCGTCATTGGTCCTGGACCCTGAGTCTGCCTCTGCTGAAACCCTTACAGTTGGTGTGACCTCTGCTCAGTTGTTGGCACCTGGAGATGGATGCTCTAGAAATGAACAGAGAGAGTCTCGATTTAGGAAACAACAAGGAGTTCGGTGGCACCTTAAAGACTAACAGATTTATTTGGGCATAAGCTTTCATGTGTAAAAAATCCACTTCTTCAGATATATGGAGTGAAAATTACACATGCAGGCAGGACACATTACACAATCCATTGTCTACAGCCAAGCCCTAAAATACAACCGAATTTGCTCCAATCCCTCAGACAGAGACAAATACCTACAAGATCTTTATCAAGCATTCTTAAAACTACACTACCCACCTGGGGAAGTGAGGAAACAGATTGAGAGAGTGAGATGGGTACTCAGAAGTCACCCACTACAGGACAGGCCCAACAAGGAAAATGACAGAACACCACTGGCCATCAGATACAGCCCCCAGCTAAAGCCTCTCCAGCACATCATCAACGATCTACAACCTATCCTGGAAAATGATTCCTCACTCTTACAGACCTTGGGAGGCAGGTCAGTCCTCGCTTACAGACAGCCCCCTAACCTGAAGCAAATACTCACCAGCAACTACACACCACACCACAGAAACACTAACCCAGGAACCAATCCCTGTAACAAACCTTGTTGCCTACTCTGTCCCCATATCTACTCTAGCAACACCATCAGAGGACCTAACCACATCAGTAGGGTGACCAGACAGCAAGTGTGAAAAATCGGGATGGAGGTGGGGGCTTGGGGCAGCAGGTTGGAGTGTGGGAGGGGATGTGGGGTGCCAGATCCGGGGGTGCTAAACTCAGGTGGCTACCTGCAAGCGGCAACCTGTCCCGGCTGCTCCTAGGTGGAGGCGCAGCAGACGGCTCTGTGCATTGCCCCCGCCCTGAGCGCTAGCTCCACAGCTCCCATCGGCTGGGAACCGCACATATATAAAAACCTCAAAGTGCTTCTTCAGCCTGCAGCTCCAAAGTTGTCTTATTTAATATTGTGTTTCATTTATACACTGCACAGAAACAAGATGATGTGACTTTTTTGTTCAAATACAGCAATTTCAGCACATTACTGTTTATACATACATCAGTACCTACATTTTAGAACAATAACTAGGATGTGCTTTTATATCACGTCAAGATACCTTGTAAAGCTCAGCCTGGGAGCATTTAATAAACAGGAGAGATTATGAAGTTCTTTTTGAATGTCAACATTGTGCTCTGTGTGAGCAGACTAATCTTCAACAGAAATACACCACCATCACATGCGATGCTAAGAATGTGCAAAGACGTCGACACTAGATCTAGTGCGGGGAGCAACGTTCACATTGAGGCTTAAAAAAAACCTTACACGATTAGTGCTCCAGCTTCTAAGGGCTTGTCTACACTTACAACGCTGCCACAATGCTGTAGTGCTTACTGAAGACGCTAGGGGAGAGGCGGTAGTATTGATGGGAGAAGCCCTCCCCTCAACATAGCATGGTCTATACCGGGGATTAGGTTGTTCTATGTCACTCAGGAGGTGCAGGTACGCTAGGGCTTATACCAAGATAGCTCTGTTCACAAAAAATCACTACCCTTACTGACAGCTATCAGTTTTAAGTGCAGACCAGGCCTAAGGCCCAGTTAAGTGACATAGGACTCTCCCATCTACTATTTTCACACTGCTTCTGGCCCTACCCACATGGGCAACAAGAGTCCACGTTGCTATTTTAAATGTTCTAGCTGGAGCCCCACCAGTGCAAGTCTCTCTACCCAGGCTGGAGGCTCGCGCCCAGCTGCAGCGTAGACATACCCTACAGGCCAAACCTCGGTGGGTACGTCTGCACTGCATAGTAAACCTTGGCTCAGACTCAGGTTTAAGCCCAAACTCACCTACTGTCCACACACAAGTCTTCTGACTTGAAGCGGAAACCTCTCAGGAATGCAGACTTGCCCAGGGATACGGGTCTGAGTCTGAGACCCACTGCAGCATGGGTCCGAGGCCACTCATTTTGCCATGTGGACACAGCTGAAGCTCAGGTTGCCAGGCTTACGTTTGGAGAGTCCACCAACCCTATCGCACAATCCTCTAGTCCGGTGCATCCCAGACTTTCCTTCCCCAATCTTCCTACTCAATTCCCAGAACAGAAGCAACCTCCGGATTCAAATACAGTTGCTGGACATTTAACTCTTGATGTCCATGTGGACTGCTCAACTGGCAACACCGTTCACCCTCTTGTGCGTTAGCAATGGCCAGCAGGGACCCAGCGCGCTGTGTTTTGGAGGGTAATTCTCCCTCCTCGTGCCCTTTGTAAAGCAAATGATTTGCTACTGTTTCTCTCCGCTCTTCTGACATGGTCCAACACTGTGAGTGTGGGTCCCATCTTGCGCCCATTTCCTATGCTGGTACTACTTATGGTACATGTCCTAATTACATTAACCCCAGTCTCGCAGCCTGCCCCACACCACCTTGTCAGCAACTATTCGCTCTCACTTCTCCATCCCTGTGCCCCTTCTCCCCTGCCTGTGATCACCCACCTGCATGTGCTCCTCAGACCCCCCGTACCAGGCTGCATTGGCGCACTCCCCCCCCGCCCCAGCCTGTACCACCCCCTTCCCCTGCCTGCTCCCCTCTCCCCACAACCTGCACAACACCCTCCCCGCCTGTGCCCCTCCTCCCTCACCTGCACAACACTCCTCCCCCACCTGCGCCCCCTCAGCCTGTGTACCTCCCCCAGCCTGCTCCCCTCTCGCCCCCCCGCCTGTACCACCCCCTTCCCCTGCCTGTGCCCCTCTCCCCACAACTGCACAACACCCCTGACCGCCTGCGCCCCTCCTGCCCCAGCCTGCACATCCCCCTCCCGCCTGTGCCCCCTCCCCCCAGCCTGTACAAAGCCCTCCTGCCTGCGTCCCTCTCCCCCACCTGCGCCCTTCCTGGGCCTGCAAACCCCTCCTCTCCTAGCCTGCACATCCCCCTCCTGCCTGTGCCCCTTCCCCCAGCCTGTACAACGCCCTCCTGCCTGCATCTCTCCCCGCCTGCTCCCCTCCTCCCCTCAGCCTGCGCCCCCAGCTCCTGCCTTCATCCCCCCGCCTGCGTCCCCTCCACTGCCTCCCCCCCTTCCAACCTGCCCCCAGCCCCTGCCTTCACCCCCCCGCCTGTTCCCCTCCCCCCCGCCTGCGTCCCCTCCACTGCCTCCCCCCTTCCCAACCTGCCCCCAGCCTGCGCCCCCAGCTCCTGCCTTCACCCCCTGCCTGTTCCCCTCCCCCCCGCCTGCGTCCCCTCCACTGCCTCCCCCCCCCTTCCCAACCTGCCCCCAGCCTGCTTCACCCACCGCCTACGCCCTCCCCCGCCTCCGCTTCCCCGGCTCCGCCGCTCTCACTTTCGGTTTCTCTCCCAGTCCCGTTAGCGCCGGGGATAAAGGATCCGTCGGTCGGGGTTCGCTTCTGCGCCAGTCGCTCCCATGGCTTATTACAGCGGGCATCTGGCGCCCTATTCCAAGCCGGTGAGTCTCTCTCAAGGGGAGGGGGACGGGGACAGGGGTGTGGGGGGAGGTACAGGGAGAGGGACCCCTGGGCTTGGCTGGGTCGGGGGGGTACA